CAAGTAATTTGAATCCCAATTTAAATAATATAAAATCAGTTACAGTTAACATGTTTAACATTTTTTCAAATAGTGCAAATAATACGGTGGGGTATGACGCAAGTATAGCAGCTGACTATGATATACATATCAGAAAAATAAGAATGAAGTAACTTATATTAATATAGTTTGGTATATAAAGTCATCTTAACTTAATTGCATTTTTAAATAATAAGAAATATTATTTGCATGTGTGGTTTATTTTACCGCCGTGAAGTTGGCACCCCGACTTTATCGTATCGTCCYCAATTATTTTAAGTGGTAGTGTTTTTATTGATACTATTAGGTCTATTTTACGGTTTTGTGGTCCGTCAATTGGCTGAAACACGATTGAGCATAAAACAACTTTTTTGCGACAAGAATGAGCAAAATTGTCGGCGTATTAAAGGAAATTAAAAAAAAAGAAAACCTACACAATTGAGCATAGAAAAACTCTGCAACATTGCCATTTTCAATTTAAAAAAAATAATAATAATAATTTAAATTTAAAAATATTTATTCAAATAATTATAATAATTTAAAATATGATATGTCAAAAAAATTACATGATTTCGTAGTAAATGTGTTTAATATACCTAGTCACATTAAAATAGTATTTAGATCCATTTGATAATAACAAAAATAATAGATTTGGCATGAAAATAATAAAATCAAAATATTTATAATAATAATTATGACGTGAAAATAATAAAATAAAAATATTTATAAGTCAATAATAAATAGTAGTCATATAATATAATATATAGATTTGTTTGGCAATAATAAAATTGTAATAAATAAAATTTAAATACCTTGGTGTATGGGTTTCGACAGTTTGTAACGACATCATAATAATATGTCATCTTTAATAAATATATAGAAAAATATTTAACAAATTATTTTGTATACAAACACCATAATAATAGTTATACCTATATACCTATATATACCATAATAATATGTAGAAGAAGTGGTAGAACACTCATACGTATCACAATGTCATCATTGTGTACCGTTGGTTGGTTGATAAATAAAATGCATTAAATACTATTATTATAAGGCAGGAGTCAACCGTGTTGTAAGCCTATCTCTACCGTGATCACAGAATAGGTTCCCAAGTAAATTGAATACCTATATCTACGCAGACACGCAGTTAATTTAGATATATAATATGATTTTTCAAAGCAGTGAGTAACGGGGGACGTGTACGGATTGCTATAGCTATATTACGTTCATACTGATTTCAATCTGTACAAAAAAAAAACATGATAAAAACAATAAGCGCTTTGAAATCATGTGAGAAAAAACAATGCACTATCATTACAAAATATAACTTTTTTTATCATTATACAGTACCTATAATATGCTATAATACCTAATTATTGCAATCTTATCAGTTATTGATTTTTTTATTGTTATTTTTTTAACAGGTTTTTACTGTATATACACATGTTTTTATGAATTCCAAGAGTATGATAATATTTGTCGTATCCATAGAGTATACATAGTATATTCGATTAAATTTATGCTAAATACAATAACACGCTCGATTTCATGAAGGGTCTGATAGATATATAAGTTCTCACTTCTCATCGAAGTTTTTCACAACGGTTTTTTTAATATTATTATAATAATGTAATTTATAGCACAAACACTTTTAATTTAAGACGTGTCTGTCTATGTCTAACTTTAGTACTTATTCATTATATTTTATAGCAATAAGCCGCAGTTTAAAAAATGAATAATTTATTCACTATATGTATAGGTACGCACTACCTATTCAAAATTGTTTGGACCACCCTATCGACAAATATGAGGTACTGAGGTCTATCATTTAAGTAATGCAATAAATAAGTTATTATAATACCATCTCGAAGTTATTATATAAATAATTAACAACGTTAAAAAAATTGAAATTTTCGCTGCGTCAATAAATTTTCCTTTAATAGTTAACTTGTTGTAAGTAATTCGAACGGAATGTCGAATAAGTTTTATCGACATATAATAGGTGCCTCGCATGCATTATATTAATCTCAATACAGGTATATACTTTTAAGTTAAATGTTAAATGAATAAAAAATATATACATAAAATATTTGTTACATCAATCGATGATGCTTGAAGTGCTCTAAAAGTACATGAAAAATTGCTAATTTATATCCACTGTTAATAATACATTTTTTTATGCATACTTTAAATATTTGGTAGTATTCACCGGTTAAATTTAATTTGCGTAATATTTAAGTACTAATGTATCTATTAAGTCATGGATTGTAAATAATTTATGATGGCTCGCAGTGGTTTTACATTTCACAGACTGGTTCTTAGAAATGACGTAAAATCTAAATAAAGATTTTTGCATCAAACGTATTTTTACAGTGATCACGGTTTATAATAACTTCTTTCAGAACGAAGTGGTTAATATTAGAATAAATCGTTTTGGAAAGTTAATCATAAATAATCACGATTTCAAATTTATTCTTTTTTAATATACAGCCTTTAATCACATGTACTGTGGATTGTCAACCGAAATGTTTACCAAGATTACATATAGGTACCTACTACCTTACAATATTATGTTATATTACCATCAGAACTCAAGTTTAAACAATATTCGTATAGTCCTATACCAACCGCTGCTATACGCATGTATTGAATTATCGACATGATTCTTTTTTTATGTTTCAAAACCAATTTCCCGTTGTCAATTTTAAATCCGCCCGATTAGGTTCTTATATCTTGAGCAGTTAACCGTAGCAAGTCGGCGTACAGAATCGCAGCAATTTGCTATAATCATCGATCATCTATGGCCGTCGGCCGGTATTGGCGGTATTGTTACGATTTAACTCTTGAATAATGAATTGCCAAATAAGTAACCTAACAGTTACGAAAATGAATATTATCGTTCAATTTATTCTATCAGCACAATAATTTATATTACATCGCAATTCACAGAATTATACACGTGATTTTCGTTCATTACGACTGATTAAAGTAGTCATAATGACGTAATGTAGCCTCGTGATATTAAAAATAAATATTTATCGATTTATCACTAACTTCACTAATTAATGAACATTCAAAAAATTATTATGACGATGCCACTGTAATCGGTACTGAAGATTTGCTAGCTACAAGATGATGTCAAAGTCGTTATCCTTTGGAATATTATAGTGTTTAGATTTAGAACTTGCTCAAATCGTTGGGACTTAATTGGTAAACCAATGGGCTTATAATTTATACGACTTGTATAATTATATTACCTTCAATTAATGATAAATATATTTGATTTTGTTGATTGACTCGTGTCATCGCATGCTACTGCTTCAGCAGTTCAGAAGGTGCAGGTATGAAAAATCAATTTTTTTATCTTAAATTTAAATTTGTTTTCAGTGGGTTCTTATTAAACGTAATTTGAGTGGTGACAAAAAAGTAATATGTTAGTATTATTTTATTTATTTTGTTTTAAATAAATCCACGTGTTACAAGTTACAACGCCAAGTACAGCAAAATTATAATATTAATACGATTATAATATCATTCAAGCATTCTTGGAAAGTTGGAACTATATTGTAACATAAAAAATTGCATTAATTAAAAATAAAACGTCAAGACGTCTCATTTGTTAATGAATAATACTATTTCGGAATTAATAATGAACAGTGGGTAAATACTACAAGTCTACAAATCATTGCATATAATATTATGTATTTTTATTTACATATTATGTCTACGTTGTGTAGCTGTAGATTGTAGGTGGTAATACTGTAATGGGCAAAAATGTTATCAAAATACCTACAATATGAAATTGTGATTTAATTTCAACTTTATACTACGCGTTGTATATTATGTAATTTAGTAGATGGATGATAAATCTCAACTCCAAAGGTCAAAATCGGATCGGAATTCGCGGAGGGCTTGGCCATCGTGGTCAATTGGATTTTTTTTCCTCGTTAATTATTGACCCATTATTAAAATATTTCGAGAAATGTACGATCCGCAAACCAAGTTCCCCGTACCTCTGCACGACATCGTACCCGAATCTCTATTTATGATGTGCGAGTACAATACAGTCGAACTGTAGTACAACTTCCACGACACACAGACTCCGGCGAATGAATAATATTATTATGGATCGTGTTTCGCGTCGTGTTTGGGTTGGTGCAGGGGGGGAGGGTGCCGAGATTCAATCGTGTAATTTATTCGATTAGTGTCGGTATTATTATTATTATTATTATAATAATATTTTCGGTGAGACTACCTTTCCGTACCTGTCGTGCCTCCTGCTCCTACAGTCCTACCTGGCTACCTGCCCGTGTACCTGTCGTCCGGGCGAACACGCCGCCGCCGCCGCCACCGTCGGGGAGCTTCGTGTACCGTCGACGGGTGCCGAACCGAAATCATCTGCTTGCCCGGCCGGTACCGCCGCCGCCGCAGCTGCACGCGCCACGCACCGCTAACGGCAGCAGTAGTGTAGACCGGTCGTTGTCGTCGACGTTGTTGTTCTTCTTCTTTTAGCAGTATTAGTGTCGAACGTGCGTCCGTATCGTGTGCGGGTGTGTTGTTCCTTCGTGTCTGTCCGTCGCCAACTAACGAGAAACGAATGTCAGAATTATTGTTATTCGTTCGTATTATTTTATTATTGCCGTGGTCGCAATAATTCCGGTAGTTTTGTCACGCGGAGACCGAGCCGGCCGGTTGGGAGAGCATAATTCGATCGATAACGCCGTTTCCGGTTCCACAACAGTGCAGCGACAGCCATGCGTTTGACTGTGTTGCGCGATTTATAGTGTCGGTGGTGGACGCTCAATGCTCATCATCCCCTTGCACAATTAAAATAATATTCATTTTTTCAACTTTAAATAGTCGACGACGGACCGTGTTTCGTGCCGGCGACTAAACATTTCGTAGTTTAGTTGCCATTTATTAGCGTTTTTCGTTTCGCGTGGATCGCAGTAGCAACCGGACATCCGGAAGCTGAAATGAGCCGCAACCTTTTTTCTCTTACTGTTGTCCTGTGCCTGGCACAGGCGGCCACGGCTACCGCGCCTCCGTCATGTTACCGGACGTCCAACTACTTCCGAACACATTTCAACGACACCAGCTACGTATTGGAACAACCGACTGTCTCAAGTAAGTGATGTTCAAGTGCTTTGTCCCGGATTTTTCTTTAAATTATACATTAACTATTTAAAAAATTTGACATCCCCGCTCACCGCTACTCGCAGTCAGTAAGCTAGTGCATCCTGTGATGTGTACCGGTTTGAATAGTCCACGGAAATCTAGTGTAATATTAAGGGGGTAGGTTGTGATGGTGATGATTAAGATTCCATAAAAGAAATAAAATTAGTTCAGGGGCGGCTGTGTCTTTCCCCTTACCAGTGATACTACCCACACCACTGTACAATATAAACGTATGTACATCGTGCAGGGCACGTGCCCGTTTATATCGATTCGTCATCCGCCGCGGAATACAATTAACTCTTTTGATGCTGCCAAATCTGCCGTCGAATAGGATAAGGGTGGTTGTGTATACGCGTACAATATTTTTTAAAGGGTGACACTATATTGCGCATTTCCGGCCCCTCTACCATATATACGCAAGCTAGCATGTGTGCGTGCGTGCGCTTGTTTTTCCTTTCTCTCCCTCTTTCTGCAAAACTCTGTATATTATATTGGACGTTTGCGCCAACGAATTCGAAATCGATTCGATTCCGGTGTTCATTAAGTACAGGCACGGATCTAGAAAATTTTTATCCAAAGTGTGTGGAGTGGAGCAGATAGTTTGTGGACTAGGGTTTTTTCAAAACCTACAGTGATGATTACTCTGCAGATAAATAATTTCATTTCATTTAACATATATCGCCGTAGTAGTACACATTCAAATTATGTTTAGTAAATAGTCCTAAATATATACATATATATAATAATATGTATACACTTTTGACTTTTTGAGTAATTAACCGTTTAAATAGAATATAATAGCATTACCTTTGTAATAGGATATAACACTAATTTTGTGCTTGATACACCGTAGTTTCTGTGTATTAAGTAGGTATAAACAGTAACAATAAATGTAGGTTTGTAGAAAATTTACAAAATAAGTACCATAATAGTTATAAATTATAATATTACAAACGTTATAATTACGCGTCCTTGCCATAATATCTGCTTGAAATTACGTGTTACTGTGATTGATATCAGTTTTGCAGAGAATTTTCGAAAGGTCAACTCAATATTATCAAGAATAATTAATATCACGGTTTCGTAGGTATATTAATGTATGATTACGAAACACACGTCCTAGTGCATCCATTTATAAAGCAATATACCGATAGTTAACTCGATTAAACTCTTTAATGGGATTCATCAATAGTCTCACTCAGATTCGAGCTCAGATTTTATCATTCGCCGGTCATTCCACTATTTGCATCCGTTCAAAATAGTAAATACTCTATGTAGGAAATGTATGAAAGCACGATTTCTTAGTTTACAAGTACCAGTCAAGCGATGGCCAATTTCTAGACCGATAAAAATAGGTATTATAGTATTTTACAACGTTTAATCTTGTATTAATGTATTTAAAAATTATCTGCTACCTAGCTAGTGTAACTGTAAACATCAATTGTAAATTAGTAATATAATCATTACATTTAATACCATTTATGAAGATAAATAAAGAACTAACTATTCTGAAATGTTCTCTGTATTATATTAAATTTATTATAAAATATAGGTATTGGGTAWATAATAGATGTACTCGTATTATTTTAATTTTAAAACCACCGCTGAGAACAGCACATTTTGTTATTCTCCAAACAAATAATGTTTAAGTTTTTAAAAAATTAATGCCTAAAAGTCTTCGTTTTGTGAAGTTATTCTTAACTTATGCACTAATTTTGACGCTTGTTTTTAGAGTTTATGATTATTATGAAGGTACCTTATTTTATTGTATGTAGACATTAGACAGTCTAATTTATAACACCTATTTATTTCATGGCAATGCGTATATACGTCATAAATGACTAGACAAAAATAAATCATAACATCAATTTATATTATTATTAAATTTCAATAAAATATTAATATGTAATTATCAGTATAATTTAAAGGACATGAGTGCACTATTGGGTTTTTCTTTGACCCCCTGGCCCCTAGCGCCTCATAGAAAATCTGCGTTTAGCATGACAGCAACCCCTTGTGTTGTTAGCTTTAATATTAGTGTGGATTTATTATTATCATGATCGTCAAACTAAAATTTTTGAATATAATTTGTGTTTGTACGTTCAATATTTTACGATATTTCAATTTTTAAGATGAGAAATTTTTTCATTAAACATTTTGTATACTTAAAAGTTGCATAGTTTATTAATTAATAGTTGGATTTAATATACTATAGCTAATAACACAAAGTTGGTTTTGTTAAGCTGCTTGGACGTGAATTTACTGTTTAGAGTGTGGGTTAGAGAAATAGAAAAAAATTATAGGTAGGTGCTAAATCTGACATCCTTTTAATACTTTGCGATATACCTAATCGGATATAATTTACTCGGTAGGCTTATTTTAGATATTCAGTAGATATTTATAATTTTACAAATCATACGTCATGTATAGGTACGTTTGTATTGCATGCATAATACTTACATGKAAAATAAAACTTTATCCCACGGTGGTTGCTATATTACGTTTGCGGTATACAATATAGCTTGTGATCACAAATTTGGATTATAATAACATTATATTATATCAACATCATAGTCAATTTTTACGAGTTCGAAACAATCCAACTACGGCAACCCATGCGAATAAGCGTTGCTGGTTTGTTCTTCTGATTATTATAGTATATTATAGAATATTTTGTATCTTTTATAATGAGTAATATGCCAACGCAGCTTACATCGTAATTATCTAGAATTTAGCAATGCAGAAAAAATGTAAATAAAAAAATGAAATGAAAAGAACTAAAAGACGACGATAAAATATATTTAATTTTTTTTTATAACGGCTAAGGTATTTATATGATGTATTTTTTTTATTTCATTAACTATATTTTTTTCATCTGTTCTTATCTGCGGCTGCTGCTCCCTCCAACCACCGCTGGTTTTTCAATATAAACAATGCGTCCTCACTGAGGTATGTCGGAAATGAAACGATCCACGTGGAATGTTCCCGTCTCCCGAATAATATTGGCTGGCAAACCGTGTACCGAACGAACTAATAAAACAAAAAAGGATTGTCTTCGGAATGGCAATATAACTATAACTGGAAACGAGAGATAAACTCCAAACCCTGGAGTTTATCTGGCTTTACACGTACGCGCACGACATATACACTGCACGCTATAAAATATGTACGGGTATTATAAATACCATAATAAATACCTATAGCCTATAAGGTTGTACATGCATTGTAAAATATAAATTTTTGTTTATATAAAATAAATAAAAGTAGGTATCGTAAAAGGTACATACATTTAACATGCCGACGATAGACACAGTAATTCAACAATGACGAAAACGACTGAATATATTTTAATGGACAATAAATGATGGAAATAATATTGTTATTAGAGTCATGATAATATTATAGTTATAGAACCATGATTTAACATCATTTTACGATGAGGCCCTGGAATATAGTATTCATTTTTTCAAAATATATATCTTTTATAAAACCTTTAGATTACGGTGATTAATCAGTATTGATAACATCATCTTTAACGCTCACAAATTTTATCAATACATAATTTTAAAATTAAAATCCTTAATTTTATTAAAATATTTATGAAGTTTAGGTACACAAAAAAATTGAAATGTATTTAATAAATTTTTTTTTTTCAAAATAAGCAATTTTAGCGTTTATTACTCTATTGAGTCTATTGCAATTAACGTGACCAATAATTCCCCTATACGGGGTTGGTAAATTGAGTCCCAGGGAAAAACGATTTATATGCATTTTTTTTTTTTTTCTTTATTATTATTACATACACAATCTGTACCTCGTGGGTACAATAAGAGTATTAGCTAAAATATAAAAACAATACATGAATATCTTGATAAAAGCA